AAGCTATTCTCTGAAGCACCTGAGGGTAGGACAAGAAGCAATGGGTGGAAACTAATCAAGGAGAGAACCAGCCTGGGACTAAAGAGAAATTTCCTAACAGTGGGACCACTCAATCAATGGAATAGCTTGCCTCCAGAAGATATGGGTGCTCCATCACATGGAGGTTTTTAAGAAGAGATTGGACAAGTGTTTGTCTGAAATGTTTTAGAAACTCCTGCTTGAGCAGAGGGTGGACTAGAAGACCTCCAAGGTCCCTTCCAACACTGACTATCTGTTACATCTGGGAGAAGGTTAACGAGATCAATTCTTCTTGTTGTTCTAACTTTTTCCCAGGATAAATTTCCTGACAGTTAGAACAATTAATCAGTGGAATAACTTGCCTCCAGAAGTTGTGAATGCTCCAACACTGGAAGTTTTTAAGAAGATGTTGGATAACCATTTGTCTGTAGTGGTGTAGGGTTTCCTTGGCTAAGTAGGTGATTGGACTAGAAGACCTCCATGGTCCCTTCCAACTCTGTTATTCTATTCTATTCTATTCTCTTTTCTATATTCTATTAAACTCCCATTTTCTTCCTTTTTCTATTCCCTTCCCTATTCCCTATTCTATTCTCTATTCCCTATTCTATTCTATTCTATTCCTTTTCTATATTCTATTCCCTTCCTTTCCCTTCTCTATTCCCTTCCCTATTCTATTCCATTCCATTTTACTTCTTCTCTTTCACAATCTCTGAACTTGCATCTTCCCTGAACTTGCAAATGACATACTCTAGGCAAACTCAAGTCACAGGATTTTGGTAACATCAGAAATCTAGTCATATCTGGGGAGCTGGAAATACTCCTGCTTCAATTTTTGCATCACCGCAAACCCGGATTGACGTAGCCAACTTTTGGTTAAGGCTTTTACTAGCTGCGCTGTAGGATTTGTGGACCCAGGAGGAATTTCTGTGCATGATTGCCACATCTGGATATACTTCTGTTCCAAAGAGCAACCGCGAATAGCAAACGAAAGCATCGGAGAAATTTTTTTTAAGAAGCCTATCTTAAATCTCCAGGGTGCTTGGTTTCTGGGAATAATAAGAACAACAATAACAATAATACTGCTCATATGCCCTGGGTGCTTTGTGAGTTGTTGTAATCTTTTGGAAGGCTGTGCTTTTTCTTCAGCTGTGCTGATTTTCTCTGCTGCAAAAAAAATCAGAATAATTTGCACTTGAAGAATCAGATGAAGAGAAAAAGCAGGCCTGGCTCTTTGATAGAGATTTTAATGGCACTATGATAGCATCATTGGGCGAGATGTAAGAAATGGTTCGGCTCTCTGCCAGCAAATTGTTTGCTTTGCAGTCTATAACATTTCAAAAGAGTTTGAAGAGAGGGAGAGAGAGAGAAAGAACGAAAGAGAGGGAGAGAGAGAAAGAAAGAGAGAAAGACAGAGAAGGAAAGAGAAAGTTAGGGAAGGAGAGAAAGAGAAAGAAAGAGAGGGAAAGAGAGAGTGAAAGAGAAAGAAAGAGAGAAATGGAGAAAGAGGGAGAGAGAGAAAGAGAGAGAGAAACATGGAGAAAGAGAGAAAGAGAGGAAAAGAGAGAGAAACAGAAAGAGAAAAAGAAGAGGAAAGAGAAAGAGAGAGAGAGACAGAAAGAGAGACAGAAAGAGGAAAAGAGAGAAAGAGAGAAACAGGGAGAAAGAGGGAGAGAGACAGAGAGAGAAAGAGACAAAGAGAGAGAAAGAGAGAGAAAAAGAGAGGGAAAGAAAGGAAAAGAGAGAGAAAGAAAGAGCGAGTAACAGGGGGAAAGCTACAGGGAGAAAGAGGGAGAGAGAGAGACAGAGAGAAGAAGAAGAAGAGAGGGAAAAAAAGAGAGAAACATGACGAAAGAGAAAGAACGGGAAAGATCCTTTTTTATCTGACATGAGCAAATAATCCGTGGCAAGCCAGCTGGCAAAAGACAAAAGCTCCTGCATTCCATCAGAGGAAACTGTGGCTTTTAGGAATGTCAGAATCAAATCTTGTCAGTGCCAAGAAAAGTTGCCACTGGAAGGAAAACGAAGAGGCATTGCAAAAGGAAAGAGGAGAAACCCAGTTTGGGGGGGAGGCCCTCCATTTTTCATCCCTTCCCCCTAACGCAAATTTGGCTCACCAAAAGGAAGATGACTTTAAAAACAGTCAAGGATGTTACCCAAAGTGAAAGACACTCAGTTAATGTCTCTCTGCCACCTGAGACAGAGCGTCCACCGAATGGGGTGGACTACATGTCCCATCAACCCTAGCCGCAGTCAGGTAAGGGGCAGGTGTTGTGGCCCACCAGCAGAGCTGGCGGCAGATTCGGAGAGTGAGGAGGTTGGGGAGGAACCTGGGCCAGTCCTGGGGAAGGCTCGGACGAGGGCTCTATGTCGGAGGCAGCTAGGGGGCCAGAGCCGTCTGGCAGTTCTCAGCTGCCTTCGGAGTCAGACAGCAGTGAGGCAGAAGAACAGCTGGAGCCTCTTCCCAGTGTGCCCATGCACAGAGCTGCCAGAAGAGAAAAAAAACAGCTCAGAAATCAGGCTCGACTTGGAAGTAAAATCACAGGTGGACGGTGAATGCCCCCCCCCCCCAAGAAGGAATAAAAGAGGAGCGAATCTCAGAGACTCTGTGCCTAGCCTTTCCTTGCACAGCACCTCATTTGG